TAAATGCTTTTGCTATTGCTATTAGTTCCGATAATTATTCTTGCTGAGTTGAGCCATGACTTCAAGGACCTTCTGGAATCATGGATACTGCTTAAGCAGAAAGTGAAGGCTGTGGTCAGGAGGCCTTGTTCCCAACCTCAGTCTGTGTGCCACTTATGGTGGTCCTAAATCAAGGCGCCCTGTGAGCATAATTCCCACCACAATCACCACTTGCTTCGGTTACTGTAAGGCACCCTCTCTGGGGCTGCCTCTCGAGATGACTCAGAAGCTGAAGCTGGTACAGAATACAGCAGGCAGATTGCTAATGGGACAACCCATTAGATTAAAGCCAATTTCAGGGTTGTCTTGGCCCTCCTGTCCAAATGTCTGGGAATGGCCTCCTCAGCACCTCCCCAGTTCCCAAGAGTTGCAAGGGAATGGCACGGTGGCTCAGTAGCTTAATGATGCTGGAGATGGTCAAGGCTTCGGCGGTTTGAATCCTAGCACTCTATGGCTGGATGAGCTCCCATCACTCGCCTCAATTTCTATTAACCTAACTGTTCAAAACCATGTTCTATGTGAATAGATAAATAGGTACCACTTTGGTGCAGAATCAAGCTGGTGCACTGTGCAGGCGGTCAAATTCCTCTCCTCTGAACCTCCCCGGTTGTGGTGTCCATTGGCGAGATGGCTCTGAGGAAGGAAGGGGGCTTCGGATGCTGCTGCAGGAAGAGCCACTTTTCTTTCTTTTTTGGGCGAAGACAGCTCGCCGTCTTGTGGTGCACATCTTGCGAAGTGTACGAAGTGCCAAAAAAGCCAAGGCAATTCTAAATTGCATTAACAGAGGGATTCAATCAAGATCAAGGGAGATACTAATACCACTCTGTAAAGCCTTAGTAAGGCCACACCTAGAGTACTGCATCCAGTTTTGGTCCCCACACTTTAAAAAAGATGTTGAGACTCTAGAAAGAGTGCAGAGAAGAGCAACCAGGATGATGAGGGGACTGGAGGCTAAAACATACGATGAACGGTTGCAGGAACTGGGCATGGCTAGTCTAGTGAAGAGAAGGACCAGGGGAGACAGGATAGCAGTCTTTGAGGGGCTGCCATAGAGAGGAAGGAGTCAAGCTATTTTCCAAGACACCTGAAGGCCAGTCAAGAAATAATGGATGGAAACTGATCAAGGAGAGATTCAACCCAGAAATAAGGAGAAATTTTCTGACAGTGAGAACAATCAATCTATAGAACAGAAGTTGCCTTCGGAAGTTGTGGGAGCTTCAAGAAGCTTCAACTCTTTCAAGAAGAGATTGGACTGCCATCTGTCAGAAATGGTGTAAGGTTTCCTGCTTGAACAAGAGGTTGGACTAGAAGACCTCCAAGGTCCCTTCCAACTCTCTTATTCTATTCTATTCTATTCTATTCTATTCTATTCTATTCTATTCTATTCTATTCTATTCTGTTCTGTTCTATTCTATTCTATTCTAATGTGTTTCCCCCAAAATAAGACCTTGTCTTATATTTTTTTGAACCCTGAAATAAGCGCTTGGTCTTATTGCCATGTGCTCAAAAGCCGGATTGGGCTTATTATCAGGGGATGTCTTATTTTGGGGAAAACAGGGTATTCTATTCTATTCTTAGGCTTAGCTACAACAGAGCTGGTATCTTGGCAGCCAAGCTACTACTCTGCAATAGCATTGTGGTCTCCAGGCTAATGTAACAACACCATATGCTAATAATAATAAATAATAACAAGGGAGTGGGTCAGGGGGCAAGTCTTCTCAGTAGCATCTCCCAAGCTTTGAAACATATTTCTCCTGGAAAAACTCCCCAATCTCCTGGCATTTTGCAAAATGTTCCTGACCCAGCTTGACATGTTTTGGGTTTTCCTTTGGGACGGAGGAAAGGAAGGAGGATCCCTCTGTCTATTATTGCTTTATTATATAAATATAACATCTTGCCTTTCAACTTGAAGAGCAAATGTTGTCTGGCAGCAGCACAACCTACCTTCTCTCAACTTGCAGCCTGACAAGGGATCGTCCTCTCCTTTCCAACTCTTGCCAGCTTCGGTCTTTAAGAACATCTCATCTCTATGCAGGCCCAAACTCCTTCAAAGCCCTCTTATTCTTGGCACTTCCAGCCTTTAGAGAAACCAGCCATGGAAGAGGGGAATTGCAAGAAGAAAAAAGTAAAGTGGGGAAAAAAGAAGATGAAGGAAAGGGAAGAAACGCTCGACGCATAATAAGCAGCGTGAAATTATGGGAGGAAACAAAAATGAGGAAAGATTAAAACCAAGAGAGGGAGACCACAATGGATGCGGCCAAAGGGAAAACTTGTTCTCTTGAAATCTGGGCATGTTCCAATTTTTTTTTTTTTTTTTTTTTTACTCAGTAGAAGTATTTCTATGTTGCTTTTTGGCTTGCTCTGAAAAGGAGATCTATCTTTTAAAAGGGCAACATTGAAAAGGCTGATAACCTTCTGGTTTATGCTTCATTTCTCGGAGCTGTGGGTGTCTTATACACCCCTTGATTTAGAAGGTTCATGCAGAGTGAGGTCCTCCAGTCAAAACAGATCTAAAATGTATTTGGATTGTTACATTTTACAGGAGTTGAAGTTTCAACTCTTATGCAGTCCTAAATTGCATTAACAGAGGGATGCAATCAAGATCAAGGGAGGTACTAATGCCACTCTATAAAGCCTTAGTAAGACCACACCTAGAATCCTGCATCCAGTTTTGATCACCACACTATAAAAAAGATGTTGAGATTCTAGAAAGAGTGCAGAGAAGAGCAACCAAGATGATTAGGAGCCCGGAGACTAAAACATATGATGAACTGGGCCTGGCTAGTCTAGTGAAGAGAAGGACCAGGGGAGACAAGATAGTAGTCTTCCAATTTTTGAGGGGCTGCCACAAAGAGGGGGGGTCAACCTGTTCTCCAAGGCACCCAAAGGCCAGACAAGGAATAATGGATGGAAATTTGATCAAGGAGAGATTCAACCTAGTAATAAGGAGACATTTTCTGATTGTGAGAGCAATCAACCCATGGAACAGAAGTTGCCTTCGGAAGTTGTGGGAACTTCATCACTGGAAGCTTTCAAGAAGAGAGTGGACCGCCCTCTGTCAGAAATGGTGTAGGGTCTCCTGCTTGAGTGGCTGGTTGGACTGGATGACCTCCAAGATCCCTTCCAACTCTGTTAATCTGTTCTAGCACTTGCCAAGGTTGCCAAATCAGGGGAGAAAGGACAGGGATCCTAGAGCAGGGATTCCCAACCTTGCACACTTTAGGAAGTGTGGACTTCAACTCCCAGAATCCCTCAGCCAGCAGGAGATGTAAGATACAGCAGTGGATGGATGATGGCTGGGGAATTGGTCGATGAAGCTTTTAAAAGCTCTCGGCTTCATCAACTCTCTGATTCAGTGATTCACAATTGCCATCAAGCAGGTTGGGAGATTTAGTTTGTGTCTTTGATTCATTTGTTTTGGAACGATTGAGAGTTCACCCAATTCTCATAAATAGTCTTTATGTTCTAGTTTAAGGAAAGAATGGAACAAATTTCAGATCTGGCAAATTTTCTTTGCTAAGGTCACCATTGATTTTGCAAAGTGTACAATTGTCCGATTAAACAGGGAAGAGGCAGGAAGAAAATGCTAGCTCAGAAGTTTTGCATTGCTCCTCCCTCTCCCTCCTTCTCCTTCTCTCCTTTAATTTGGTTATCTTGTCTTATAAAAGAAAACATGTGTAGCTCAGGATTGAACTGTGGCATTCTTGGTTCTTTCTAAGCTTGGCTGTTTTCTTGCAAACCTTTCACTACCCAATCTGGTAACATCACCAGGCACTATGTAATGAAAGATCTTGCCTTATTTTACTGATTCACCCTGCAGTAATCAACTCAGCCATTGGAGGTAGTTAACATAAATAATGTATAATAAAATAATATATTCTGTCCAAATATAATGCAGTAATAGAAGAAAAGATCAGAAGTGGGTCAATTCAGCAGCTAAATTACGGATTTTGCAGTGAATTATAAAATGTAAACTGGAGCTGAAATCAACCGAGAGCAAAGGGAAGAGATGTGATGGCAATTGTGTTGACTTTGATGCAGATGTGATGCTTTGCACAGTTCTTTCTGTGTTTGAGATATTAGGAATATCCAATATAGCATTTTACAGATTAACAATAAAAAGACAAGCTCCTATTGCAAGCTGCTTACATTCAAAAATTCAGTCTGGAGCCATGGCACAAAGGGAATTTTCCACCTTATTTGTGAAAAGAATGAATGAAGACTATACAATTCTTGCAAAAACGTCCTAGGAGGGCTTTGAGGAGAGATTTGAAAAGAAAAAGAATCAGTTCTTTTTATACATGAAGGAGAATCTTGAATTTTTTCTTGGGCATTTCAAGAAATTCCACCATATTTGACGCAACATTCCTATATGGTTTTTTTAAAAAATTAATTTAATATCTTTATTTTTGACAAAACAATCTTTAATCTTACAAAAAGAAAAGAAACCTTAAAATAATAAGGTTTTTGGTTTAAGAAAAGACCACAAAGGAAAGCTTATAAGGTGTTCTCTTATGCAAAAAATAAATAAATAAATAAATAATATATATATATATAATAATTCGTCATAAATCTCTTGGTGTTGGTATTTTTTATTTTTTATTTTTGCTTTAATTTATATGCCGCCCTTCTCCGGAGACTCAGGGCGGCTTACAATGCGTTAAGCAATAGCCTTCATACTTTTGTATATTTATACAAAGTCAATTTATTGCCCCCACAATCTGGGTCCTCATTTCACCTACCTTTGAAAGGATGGAAGGCTGAGTCAACCTTGAGCCTTGGAGAGATTCGAACCAGCAGTAAATTGCAGGCAGCTGAATGTTAATAACAGTGCTTAGTCTACTGTACTACAGGCTCTTTACCAAATAATTTATGTTTGGTTCTGTCTTCCTTCAGGATTGCTAGAGATAAGAGTCATATTTTTATCCTGATCCCTTCCCTTCACATTTTGTGTTTTACAGCTATCTAGACTGCTTAGATCGAATTGGAGCTCCCGATTACCAGCCCACAGAGCAAGACATCCTTCGAACCAGGGTCAAAACAACCGGCATTGTAGAAACCCATTTCACATTCAAAAACCTCCATTTCAGGTGAGAAGGATGCAGGTAACATGAAAGAATCTCCCTGACTGGACAGATAATCAACTGGTGTGGCTCTAGTCCTTTTCGTTTACCAGTGGGCAGGCTTGGGGTGTTGTGTTTGGTTTGCACTGCCACAAAATGGCTGCCGTAGTAAGCGGGGCTTGACATGGGTTAGTTCAGTTGGTCATCACTATCACTCATCTAAACCTTTCCCTTCTCTTCCTTCTTCCATCCTCCCTTCCCTTCACTTAATTTTAATTTTACTTCACTTTTTTTCTCTTCCTTTAGCAATAGCAATAGCACTTAGACTTATATAGTGCTTATATAGTGCTTTTACAGCCCTCTCTAAGCAGTTTACAGAGTCAGCATATTGCCCCCAACAATCTGGGTCCTTCCCTTCCCTTCCCTTCCTTTCCCTTCCCTTCCCTTCCCTTATTTTCCTTCCCTTCCCTTCCCTTCTCATCTCATCTCTTCTCTTCTTTTTTCTTTTCTTTCTTTTCTTTCTTCTCTATTTCCTTCAAAATGCTTTTCTTTTTCTTTCTTCCCTTCCCTCATTCACCTTCCCTTCCATCCCTTTCTTATCTCTTCCTTTCCTTTTTTTTTTTTTCCTTTCCTCTCCCTCTTCACTTCACTTCCTTTCCTTTTCCTTCCCCTCCCCTCCCCTCTATCTTGCCTGGACCAGGGGAGACATGATAGCAGTCTTCCAATATTTGAGGGGCTACCACAGAGAGGAGGAGGTCAAGCAATTTTCCAAGACACTCGAAGGCCAGGCAAGGAATAATGGATGGAAACTGATCAAGGAGAGATTCAACCTAGAAATAAGGAGGAATTTTCTGATAGTGAGAACAATCAACCAATGGAACAGGAGTTGCCTTCAGAAGTTGTGGGAGCTTCATCTCTGGAAGCTTTCAAGAAGAGACTGGACAGCCATCTGTCAGAAATGGTGCAGGGTCTCCTGCTTGGGTGGGGGTTGGACTAGATGACATACAAGGTCCCTTCCAACTCTGATAATCTCTAATCTGTAATCCCTGTTTTATCCACATCTTTCTCTTTCCTGCCTCTTCTTGAGAGTGCTGCTCTTGATAACCTGTCACTCAGAGGACAAGTGTGACTAGAAGTCACTTATACTCTTTTGTGCTAGGATGAAATAATGAAGAGTTTTCCTTGTTCCTCCTTAAGGCTGTTTGATGTTGGGGGTCAGAGATCGGAGCGTAAGAAGTGGATTCACTGTTTTGAGGATGTCACGGCAATCATTTTCTGTGTCGCGCTGAGTGGGTATGACCAGGTACTTCATGAAGATGAAACAACGGTGAGTAATTCTCCCGGCTAAATTAATCCCTGCCATGGCTCTTCGATTTCCTGTATTTTGTTCGTAGCCATCAGGGTCCTTTCTTAAACCCCGAAGGATCTAACATTATTCTTCATTGCTCACATGTCTTCCTTCGATGCAATGGAGATCCCTTATCTATTCATCCATAGTTGGGTTTAAGCCACTGGAATTCAGCAGGATGGTCTTAGACCAAGTAATCAGTTCATCTACTCCCTACAGTAACTCAAGAATTTATCCAGAACTCCTATCCTTTCTCATTGCTTATCTCTGACCAGGTATCCCTGATGAAAAGATACCCTTAATTTTTAATTTTTGATTCTTATTCTGCTGAGAGCAGATGGGGAGGAAGACCTGAGAGATAGGCTGCTGTCCAGGGTGCTGACAGAAAGAAAATGAAAGAACAGATAGAAAAGGAAATGTTTGAAAGAAACTAAGATGAACAGATACCAGGTTGTGCCTGTTTGTGAGAGTCATTCGAATCGTGTTTTTCTCCCTTGTGCGCATACCTGAAAAGTCAATGTCAGGTTAATTCTAGTGCTAATTGAAAAGTGTAGAAGTGGGCATATGTTGAAGATACTAATGCATAGTAGATAATAGTCACCCAATCATTTATAAAGGACATAGTGGCTCAGTGGCTAAGATGCTGAATTTGTCGATCAAAAGATCTGCAGTTTGGTGGTTTGAATCCCTAGTGCCACGTAACGGGGTGAGCTCCGGTTACTTGTCCCAGCTTCTGCCAACCTAGCCGTTCAAAAGCACGTAAAAAATGCAAGTAGAAAAATAGGGACCACCTTTGGTGGGAAGGTAACAGCGTTCCGTGCTTCTTTGGCGTTGAGTCATGTCTGCCACATGACCATGGAGACGTCTTCGGACAGCGCTGGCTCTTCGGCTTTGAAACGGAGATGAGCACCGTCCCCTAGAATCGGGAACGACTAGCACGTATGTGCGAGGGGAACCTTTATCTTTACCTAATCATTTATCAACTAACATTTATATGGGGCTCTACTCCCAATGACTCAGAATTATACAAGCAGAGATACACATGCAAACCAGCATTTAAAATGACACAGCAGTACACAATGGTATACATTATAAATGGGATGAAAATGTGGAGATTCCAACATCTAACATCTCAGTTTTCTCTCTCACTGGCACCTTGATAATTATTTCCAGAAACTCATTTTGATCTTTCCACCCATTATAGTATGTGGATAAATTCCTGCATTATTTTCCATAGGGGGTGCTCTTTATAAGGCAGAAGTCTTCAAACCTGGCAGCTTTAAGACTTGTGGACTTCAAGTCCCAGAATTCTCCAGCCAGCTATGCTGGCTGGAGAATTCTGGGAGTTGAAGTCCACAAGTCTTAAAGCTGCCAAGTTTGAAGACCTCTGTTATAAGTCATGCAGAGCGGGAGGGGCATTGAGAAACAGAATAGTCAGGCAAATATTTAGTTATTTCACCCAGGGTTAACTTTGTAAGAAGGGTTGGGCTTCAGAATTATCCTTATCCACACCCCAAAAGAAGCAAAGTGAGTCTCTATAGGTAGTCCTCGACTTACAACAGTTCGTTGATGACCATTCAAAGTTACAACAGCCCTGAAAAATGTGACTTATGGCCGGTTTTCACAATTATGACCATTGTGGCAACTCCCGTGATCATATGACCAAAATCCAGATGCTTAGCAATTGACTCATATTTATGACCGGTGTGGTGTCCCAGGGTCTTGAAGGGTCGTGATCCCCTTTTGCCAAGCAAAGTCAAGGGGGGGGAGCCAGATTCGCTTAACGACCGTTACTAACTTAACAATTGCAGCGGTTCACTTAACAACTGTGGCAAGAAAAGTCGTAAAATGGAGCAAAGCTCACTGAACAGACGTCTCACTTAAACAACATAAGTTTTGGGCTCAATTGCAGTCGAAAGTCGAGGACTACCTGTATTTAATTGCTAATAAAGGTTCTTACTGGAGCTTCCAAGAGATTTTTCCACACTCCCTCTTGAATCAAACAGCCAGCAAGACTGTCCCAAAGGGGCTTTTTCAAGAGGCAACTGGCCTTCCTTTGTTTTTCCATTTCTCATCCAAGAAGCTTAGAACTGAAGAAGCTTCTTGAATGAGAAGTGAAAGATCTTCAAGGAAAACCCAAGAAAGACTTTTGGAAAAGCCTCTTTGGGGACAACCATGTCCCAATCTCAGTTTATGGATGACTGAAAACAGCAAGACTGGGATTTTACAGGGGTGGGACAGGTGTACGAATGTAAGGAATACAATCAAGATCAAGGGAGGTAATAATACCACTCTATAAAGCCTTAGTAAGACCACACCTAGAATTCTGCATCCAGTTTTGGTCACCACACTATAAAAACATTGTTGAGACTCTAGAAAGAGTGCAGAGAAGAGCAACCAGGATGATTTGGGGACTGGAGGCTAAAACATACAATGAACAGTTGCAGGAACTGGGCATGGCTAGTCTAGTGAAGAGAAGGACCAGGGGAGACAGGATAGCAGTCTTCCATTGCTTGAGGGGCTGCCACAGAGAGGAGGGGGTCAAGCTATTTTCCAAAGCACCTGAAGGCCAGACAAGGAATAATGGATGGAAACTGATCAAGGAGAAATTCAACCTGGAAATAAGAAGGAATTTTTTGACAGTGAGAACAATCAACCCGTAGAACAGAAGTTGCCTTCAGAAGTTGTGGAGGCTTCATCACTGGAGGCTTTTAAGAAGAGACTGGACTGCCATCTGTCAGAAATGGTGTAGGGTCTCCTGCTTGGGTGGGTGTGGGAGGGGGTTGGACTAGATGACCCTTCCAACTCTGTTCATCTGTTAAATCTGTTAAATCTATTAAAGACATGTAAGAGAAAAGAAACCTTTGTCTTTATGCTAGACCCAAGATTTCAGTTCCTAGCAATCTCTCCACCAAAATAAACACCTGAGATTTCAAATCTGGCGATCCGTTCCCCAAAATAAAAAGGACTCTATTTCTCCCAAATAGAGCAAGAACCCTATGTGGTACTAAGGAAAATGTGTTGAACAATGATTTTTCTCTCCTTAATGGACTGGGTGGAGGGCAAGGGGCATAAAACAGGAAAGTGGGAGACTGACAGATGGAGGATGGTATCAGCTGAACCCCCTTGTGATTTTATTGATTCGATTTAGAAAAATATTTAATCCCCATGAAATGCAACCTTTGGAGCAATGTGGTTTGGCCACCTTGGAAACCTTTTGTCTGGAAATACCCAGATTTTGCAGCGAGAAAAGGCAGTTTCTTTGTAATAACTGGTTCACATCAGAAGTTGCAAGTTTAAAGTTATCCAGGTTACGAATGACTATGTTGTTTCTCTAAAGTCTAAATAAATATATAGTGGAGTGACAAGAAATTTTGAACTGGTGAAAACTTAGCCTTTCTGATTCTTCCTTTCTTCCTTTTTTTTAATCTTTTCAAGCTTATCAAAGTTGATAAAATTTGGGTTGGGGCAGAGAAAATTCTAAGCTTTGCTTAGCTCATATAGATCTGTTGCCTTTTCTTTCTCAGTCACAATTCCTAAGCATGTACAGTTTTACATTTTCAGTACTCCCCTAAGTTATGCAAGGGTCTGATTTTGGCCCATTACCAATGTCTTTAACCATCCACTCAAGAAAAATGCATATTGACAAGTCCAACCTTTTCCAGGTGAAGTATCTCACAGAAATATTGGGATGGCACATCTGCAGCTCATGGATCCTTCTTTCGTGTACATAAAAATGTTGTTATCTTGATTCATCCTGGCATGAGATTTAGGAAGTTTCGGGACGTTCTAGAAGTTTAAAATGATCGAAAATCAGACTGAAACTCGAAAACAAACAGCAAGTAGGAGGGAGAGGGGAAAAGTTATTAAATGAAGCATTTGTGATTCTTCTTCTTTCAAACTGTGCTTCCTCATATCATAAATCTTCTACGATGTGACTGTGTGGATTTAAAATGTCAACAGCCCCCTTTGCTTCTAACTGAAGGGGTTTCAAGATTCAGCTGTCTGTTTCTAAGCTGGAGTGGGGGACAAAATTGAGTGGGACAAGCTTGTTTTTTGATTTAAGAGGATGATTAATTTAGAGTCTTTGGGTCTTAGAATTAAATGGATTAGATCCAGATAACCTGCTTTGTAGATGTTTGCAGCAGAGAGAAAAAATTACCTGGTGCTAAGCTGGGGAAAAAATTGAAGTTGCACTTCTCTGAAGTTGTTTTCAACCATTGTATTATACCAGTTGCTTGTATGATCTTCTGCAGAACATATTGTTTCCATACTATTGCCTGTTTTTTTTTTCCCTCTCTTTCAACTACTAAAGGGTAGGTGCTTAACTTGATTATTGAATGAATAATCTTTCTTTCCGGATGCGCACAATGCATTGGGCCAAGTTACTCAACCTGGGTGGATCCTGGCTAATCCACTTCATGAAACCTTTAACACATAACTCTGTTTGAATTATCAAAGGAGTGAGGATACCTTTTATAGAGTTACACAACTTTATACCTGTGCAAAACTCCAGAGATTAATCTAATTCCACCTTGATGTTGTGTAAAAAGTCATGGAAAATGTAGCTATGTTCTCAAGCTTTCATGAATTTCTGCCATTTGTCAGAAATGGTGTAGGGTCTCCTGCTTGGGCGGGGGGTTGGACTAGATGACCTACAAGGTCCCTTCCAACTCTGTTAATCTAATCTAATCAAGCTTTGGGGCAGAGAGTGGTGGTTGAGCTCCTGTGAAATGTTTTATCGTTCTTTAAAGTCTTTCTGGGTACTTATGATATGCTTCTTTTTAAATTTTCTTATGTTCTTGATCTAAACTGAATGAAGAAATGAATGAATGAATGAATTAATTAATTAATTAATAACCCAATATGCTAAACCATCAAAAAAAATTAACCAAGCTGAAAAATAAGCAAGTATAGTGTATTGTGCAGATAAAGCTGTAGTGTTTTAACTGGCTTGCTGGTTAACATGTTGTCTGAAC